TCTGGTCCGGTTACGCCGGGCTTGTCCCCAGTTGTAGGCAGGAGGCTCTGAAGGTGCTAATGCCTCCTGAGAGAATGGGTGCGAAGCTTGGTCGAGGCTATAGGGTTGGGGGCGGCAGAAGCCCGTGGTGTTGTGCCCCTGGGGGTGGCGTCCCAGGGGTGCGCAGAAAGTCACTTGGGTATGGGACCCCACATGACTCACTGTGCACTTGGTCACACACCACATTGCAATTTTCTGCACTTCGCCTCCAAGACAGGCCTTATGGCTAGTTTGAGGCAATATGTTTGCACTCTGGCCCCTAAGGCCTGTCAAGAGTGGTGCACTGGCACTTTAGATTATTTAAGCACTCTATCCACGTTTGGCACTTTTTTATTTAAAATTTTGACCCACAGATGCGAAAGGTGCAGGTTTCTTCGGGGCCTATTCCTGACGCTGGGAGGAGATTCTGTGCCTCCTACGGGGTTCTCCGTCTCCTCCCACCCAGGAAGGGGGTCTCTCTTCGGGAGAGCCCCCTTGCCTAGTACTGTTAGGGACCTGTTTCGGCAGGTGCCCGAAGGAAATGGGTCCACCGGCCTTCGGGTTGGTGGACCAACAGTCTCAACCCCTGTCAGGAGCCTTGCGCCCCGGGGGGGGCGAGAAAGTAGGTCCCTTCTTTGGAAGGACCTTGCACCCTTGTGCACGTTTTTGTGTGCTGTGATTTCACGGTTCACTTTTTTTGTTCACAGGGGGATGTTTTGATGCACGTCCACGGGCTTCGATAAAATAAAAAATCTGTTCTTAAAAAAAAAAAAGGTAAGAGATTATCTTTCAACTAGATCTTTAGAAATATTAGAATCAAATTAAACTACCCAAACTTTTACATAGAAAAATAGTGCCCCCTTGTGGTGATGGCGAGGAAGAGGTACGTAGTAAAATGATGTACTCTGACGTAATTAATCACGTGGAATTCCAAACCACGCCCACATTCCTCGGGGGATAAAGGTTTAGGAGAGCCAGCAAGGGGGGATCCAGCAAAGAAAAGGCAGTAAGGAAATATATAGTAAGGGTACAGGTCGGAAGCTGAGGACGGCTGTCCAAGGGAACTGAACTAAAGAGAACCCGACCATCCCTCGTTTCTCAACTGTGACAGCTGACTTCTTTCAGACAACTAATTTTGTATTTCTGGTAAAGTATAAATTTCTATCTTTATTGATTAGCAATTGATTAGCCACATCTACAGTATAGCCGAATAGACCATTTCGTTTGTAGGATCTGGATTGATTTGATAATTTTTTAACTGCAGTACAAATTATATCTTTCAATCTTGGGAGATAAATATATACATTTGTATAATCTCCAGGGAGCCGATTTTAGCTTCCAGTCAATGGTCTAGTTTTATGTATATTTAATTAAATTGGTGGAAATTTGTCTTTACTTCGAATATAGTCTGGGCTTATAGCCAACCCTGTGCATGATGGGACAAATTTTGTCCATGCGCTGTTAAAAGTTTGAGTTTGTAAACATCTGTTTGCTGGGAGAAGTCACGTGTCAATTCTGAACCTTTTGTTTCCTTATTGTCTGAGCTACTGATAAGATACCCATTGCATTTAAAGTTATTTTATTTGGTTACATTTATATTTTGAATTAATATCCTGTGGTAATAATTTACACATTACCTGTGTTATCAAATTGATTGAAATTATTTGATCCTTATTCTTTGTTTGTCACCAATTATATTTTTATTATCATTATGCACTGATTGTTTTTAATTAATAAATATATATATTTTGTACACTATTGTCTTCATCTTGTCTTCAAGTTGGCGCAAATAACGAACTCGTGTAAATTTTGATTTGTGGAAAAAAGTTGGGAATCTCCTTCATTACAGATCCTTGCTTGTTTTCATGAATAGAAAACTGTTTATCAGAGCAGTATAAACATTCAAACATACCCTCTGGTCATTCCCCAGGTGGAGGGACAGAATTTGCCTACCCTTGCTGTAGACGATTTTGCCAATTAGCGAGGCAAAACTACTTACTGGACTTGTGGTGGATACTCCACCCAATGGAAAAGAGGTACTCTTTTTGCTTTTTATTCTCTCAGACATAAAGCACTCATATTATACTAAATTACATCCTATTAATCCTGTTCTCAGGAACACAGAGTCCACTGAGACTGGGCCTATTATTACATGGTCCGACCATGCTCATACAAAAACATACCAAAAAAGCGTACTGACAATGCTTTGAGCCAATACTTTCAGCTTAAAAAAGACATTAAACATTGTTTTGTTTTTGCATGGAAGGGAGGCACAGATGGTATGCAGCTCTGTTATTTTTTTTAAGTCTCAATTTCTCGTTTTCTGGTGGGTCCCCACATCGTCTCCCCAGCCCCCCGCACTGGTGACTACATCAACTAAGCGGCTGCTGTGACACCCGCCCGTGTGTGCTCGTCCCCAGCCATGCTTGCAGTAGCTGTGTGCCTCCATAGACACACACAGCCCTGCGTCAGGCCATGTCCCTCCTTTCCAGCCAACAGGTTTATTGACAGCAAAAGGAGCCTATGTCTCCTCTGCCCTCAATCTCCTCCCCTGCAACCAGGAAGTTCAGAATGGATGAGTGATTCAGGGACCGACATCAGTGACAAGCAGCCTGACAGCCTAGTGTGTGTGTGGGGATACAAAAGGTACAAAGAGAATGCATTCATGTAAAAAAATCACTACTTGATTTAAGGTTTGCTTTCCCATTATTCTACTCCTTCGGGCACGCACACAAATCAGCCATAAGAGGTCAATGTATTTCTCTGGCAAGTAACACATAACTAGCCCGTAATAAAAGGGGCTTACTATAAAAGAACAATTGCTCACCTTAGAGACGCAACTGGCTGATAAATCATTACTAGCAACAAAATGTAAATTGAAATCACTCGGGTGTCATTGCAAAGTGCTCTCATTCACTAAGTAGATAAATCTTTTTGGGGGGAGTATCTCAATGTTATACCGTGTGCATCTTTTAAACTGTTGTACCCCTGATTTCTAGTGCATATAGCGACACATTTATTATCCATTATTGTCAGGGTACCAGGATCTTACCACTCCTCGGGGCTGCCAATTACGGCATAGGGCACGGGGTCTCCTTCCTGGCAGGACTCCTGTCGCCAGGGTTGTGTGCGCGCGGTGGATAGGCTGTGTCCACGGGGGGAGATGGGGGGGCGCGCGTAGTGCGATTAGTGGTGTCAGGTGTGGGCTTTGCTGAGGGAGGTTCCCAGCACACGCCTTCTTCATCTTCTCTTTTGCCATGTGCTCCCAGATGGAGAAGCCTCCTGGTTGCCTCGACAACCAGGGGGTGGTCCTAGCTCCCACTGGGTATAAATCCCAGTCAGAGCCCAGGCTCATTGCGGAGTTATTCTACCTATATGGTGCAATCACCTAGCCTGCTGTGTTTGCTGTTACTGCCATTTCCTGATCCCTCGTCTGACTTCCTGTTGCTGACCCTTTGGCCTGCCTTCCCATTCATGAACCAAGCTGCCTGCATCCACCCGGACTGGACTTTGGCTTCGCCTTTGGACTGCTCATTTTGTACCTCGTTTTCCGACCTCTGACCGTTCCTGCCAGTGGGTTCTGCTTCACAGCCCAGGCCGACGATAACTCCTGACAATTATTGATCTAGTTTATCTCCTTATGAAGGCATTCCAAAATGCCTTCATAAGGAGAATTGTCTCAATATTGCTGTCTCTAAACTGTCAAAAGCTTGCAGGGAACATCCTGAATGACAGCTGAATATCCCTTGAGGAATGAAGCCAAGTTATCTTAGTGATACTTCAAGTGCTTAGGAGCACTTCAAGAATGTGCGACAGTTTGGAGGGTTTTGATCGTTCGTTCACACCATGTCCAGACCACAACATTTGTTGTCCACACCTGAAACACATCTCAATGTATTCCTATGGCATTTCTGGGCTCTGTTTACACCAGTGCAGTCCGTTCTGTTGAAAAAAGTGCTGCATACACTTTATTCTGGTCTGGAATGTACCAATAGGACTGTACAGTAAATGCATCAAGAATAAGTGCCAATGAAAGCCCTTTTTAAGCTAAAAAAATTAAAAACCACACAGGAACGCGTTTAACGTCACTAAATGAGAGGCACCCGGGTCAGCTCCCTCTACAAACCAGCATGGAAGAGAGCACTACTTACCTTTATATTCCACTCCAGCTAAAAGGATAGGGTACCTTCTCTCACATCAGATCGCCTCTCACTGAAGCGGGGGTGGTGATAGCAAGGGGGGACACTGTGATAAACCAGCCCAGTGGCCAGTCTGTGTGTCCCCTGTGAGAAACACTCACAGGCTGCCCTGGATCCAAGAACCCGCCTGTAGCTAAGGATCTGCATGTGTTCGATGGATATCCTTCAGCCATAAACAGAAGTGAAATACAAATATAATGCAACAGTAGCCAGACACATTAAAGTTTTAAAGTATGTCTTGTGTGTTTACCATGTCATATGTCCAATGGTGATTTACCAAATTATGCAGAATAGCGAAGCAGTCGTTACCAAAAACATAAGAAAAAGCCAAAATTACATTAATGCACAGATAACCATTTCCTAAAATACCACTTTTTCTGCTTAGTAATAACTGTGAGGGCTTATGTTAGGCATATAGAAGAGAACAAGGATGAATGGGAGCTCTGTGGTGGGTATGAGATGTGAAGAGTACGTGTGTTCAGTGTGCTGTCGAGTGACCTAGCAATACGCTGTGCTTTACATGACATGCTCCAGACTTCCATTGTTCTGTATTTTGTACAGCAAGTTATAATCTCTATATCGATGAGTTCCGAGAACAGCTGTGTGTTATATACTCAGTACTGTATCTTTACAATCATTAACATAATAGGTTTTTTTATTCTGCTGTCATCCCACAAAAAAATTCACACCAGAAATATTTATGTACCAAACATTTTTTTTCCTGAAAATATTAGACAAAATAGGGAACACAATTAAAGCTCAGTAAACAATATGACCATTTACCTTTGCAGATGGAGACTGGCTGATCTTCCAAACTGTAACGCGATCACTGTATACTAACCAAGCCCATCCAAAGTCACAGATTTTGAAACTTAGAAGTAAATCTGCTTAAATAAAAAAAAAAAAAGAAATAATGTTCAAATAGACCAAAAACAAAAATCAAGAGCATCTCCTTAAAACAGTTACTAACCACCTAACTTACTACAAACTATACAAAGTAAAGTGTATAAGCACAGCAATAAAAAAAAGTCATATACATGATTAGTAAAATTTAAGACCTTACAGCACCTGCTTGGTGTAGTCTATTTCGAAATCACAATCACAGGCCATACTACTCTAATGGGAATGCACTCCTCTAGCATCTCAAGTACTTCAGTACTGCTCCATTGAGGTCTATAGGGAATTAATGCACAGGTGTGTCCAGCACTGGGGAAAATGTTGAACCTAAGGATTAAAAAACTGGTTGCTGTAGTCAAGAAGAGGTAAGTAGGCACATGGATAGTAGAGGGGAAGGTAGCTGGTGGTATTAGGAGAGTAACCACAAAAGGTAGCTGGTGGTAAAAATCAGCGAGCAGAGTGGGTGGGAGCGGTGGAGGAATATAAAACGGTTTGAATCAATGTGATTGCATTCAGCTGTTAGTCTTTGGTCACAGAAGCAACCATAAACATACAGCCTTTGAAATTGCCATTGTCGTAAGGTTTACTGACCTGCTTAGCTGGACGCAGTTCTGTTCTGATGTAAGCCTTACGTCCGTGGCAGTGAAAAGGTTATGTAAACTAGGGATGCACCGATACCGTTTTCTTAGTATCGAGTACCAATTTTTTTTTTCAGTACTCGCCAATATTGAACACCGATACCAGAAGTCCCATTAAGGAAACCAGGCAGCGTTTACCAGTGTTTACTGGTATATGACCTTATGTTTCTCTCACGTTACTTACTAAGCCCTCACGGGCAGGGCCCTCCTTACCATCTTGCCTTAAATTGTATTGACTGTAATGTCTTCCTTATATTGTAAAGCGCTGTGCCAACTATTGGCACTATATAAATCCTGTATAATAATAATTGTATCAGCGCACTCCTCATTCACCTGTTCACTCTAATTCCATACCTGAGTCATATCTCTAATTCCATACCCGAGTCATATCTCTAAGCATTCATACAAACATCATGTCATTAAAAATTAGTTAATAGAATGCCAAAGGGCTTAACAGTCCGTATAAATTAGCCATGCTGTGGAAGGAGGCTACCTCTTTACATTGTGATCTATTATTTGTCGAGGAGACTCACTTTGCAAAAGAAAAAAACCTCTTATGCAAATCGAAGGGCTTCCTCCATTATTTTTTCACCAAGTGTAAGTAAGGGGGTAATGATTGAGAGTTAAATCAGCGAGCACCGCAGATTAGATATAACACTGTTATATCTAATCTGCGGTGCTCGCTGATTTTAACACTCCTGCAGTTACTGTTTGTGAATCCCCCACCGTCTGTGGCAGTTACAAAGTCCAATAGAAGTGACATTTGAGACCGATCAGTTGTTCCAGGAAGATGATCGGTTCTCCTGCACATGCGCAGTGATCCGATCTGCCCTGGTACAGCCGAAAAAGCGTTGGAATGCTTCACCTAATGGGTGATCAGACATTCCTCCTAAAATATGGGATGCAACTAGATGTTATAGTAAATTTCAATCCCAGCACTTTGCATCCTAGATAACCCATTGTTTCCTCAGGGCCTTGACTCTCTTCTTGCATTTACGTGGTGGTCTTCTCATAACTTAAACTTACCTGGGTGACCTGATGGATGATTGTTCAGTCCGCAGTTGGAGAGTATTTTAGGGACAAGTTGCAGGCCCCAACATCTGAATATTTTTCAGTACTTACAACTCCAACACTGGGCCACTTCCCTTCTCCCAATTACCTTACCACAAGCGGGCTTAACCATGTTTGAGCACATATGTAAACGTAATGCTACCACCCCTAAAATGATTTTGTTGGTCTATTCCCATTTGAACTCGTTGTCATCCCCCTCAAGCACACGTCACTAGATGGGAATTTTATCTCTTTACATCACAGTCACTGGAAGTCCGGTGGCAAATTTGGACGTCTATGGCCACCTGTACAATCAATGTGACCTCATTGGAGACTGTTTTTAAATCCCTCACGGAGTGGTACCTAGTACCGTCCAGGCTCCCTCAACTCCACACTCAGCCTCCTATTTCCAGGGTGGGGGATCTAAGGGGGACGCCCTCCACACGTGGTGGACTTGTTCCATGCTTGTCAGATTTTGGATGCTAAGGGATTTCATCTACTGAGTAGTTTATTTTCTGTGACAGTTCGTAAGGACCCCTAGTTTGCCCTCCTGCATCTCAAACCTTCACTTCTTACTAGAAATCAACACTGTTTGGCCACTTATGTGCTGCTGGCAGCTAAAAAGGCTATTGCCTATGCTTGTAATAAAATAATTTGTATTGTTTGATGAGGTCTTTTATTTGCCAGACTTCTAATGTTGGTGTACATACATTTAATGCCTCTCTTTTTGTGGGGCAAAAGTTTACTACCTTGTTGTTCCCCACTATTTTTATTGTTATTATTCTGCCTTGATTTCGGTCGTCCGTTGGTAGTTATTCTTACATGTGCCAACGGATTTCCTATATTGACTGGAGTGAGCCCACTATTATTAACTCTTTTTTACTACTTTGTGTTATTTTTACCTACGATTAAATTATCTACGTTTAGTTTTAGTAATTTTATTTTTATACCCTCCCCCCCACTTTCTAGTTTAAAAGCTCCTCCAGTGACAGGTTGATTTTAATTTTTTGTTTTTCTCAACGAAAAATTGACAAGCATTCTTCTGGATTCCAATAAAAATTTTCTGAAAAACTGCCAGCCACGGATCGACAATGCTCATCCTTCCCTGTCCCAGGACAGTTTCTTACCTCTGGGCTCTGAGTTTATCTACCAGGGACCTGAGTACCCCAGCACCATTCTCTTTCTTTTGGATCTTTCCTTCTCCCTTCCTCCATTCTGAATTCTTTTTCTACTAATTCTTCAGAAGTATTTAAAATTTTGACCTTCTCGATTTTCAATGCAATGGTCACTATTTTTGATTGTATAGTGCATTATTTTTCTACTATATATCACACAATGCATATTTCTTAAAAATGTTATAAAATATTTTAAACTAAAATAGCCAATAGAAGGCTGGCTATTGCTCGCAGTCACTGCGTTCTGTGTTGACTTATATATATATATAGTGCAGGGGTGTGGAATTCCTAACGCCCGACTCCCGGGACATGCAGTTTCGGGCAAGTAGTTTTTATGTACATTTAGCCCGGCTCTGGACAAGCAGAGCTGAAAGTACATTGTGGAGCCGCCACCACTCGTTTAGTAGAAGTGATCTGATCAAACCACTTGTATCAATTTGAGCAGCGGCGATCGTTTCAGCCCGCACCCCCCGCTGTAGTTCTCGGGGTCCCCCGAAAAATACGGCATAACGGCTCAGCCATAGAGCCCGTAGAGCAGACAAAGAAAGTCTGCTCTACGGACTCTGTGTGTGTTCTCTGAGACCGTGGCGCTGTAATCACAGCCCCACCTGCCTCGGCTGTCAGGAACTACACAGAACAGCTGTACTGTGTTGGAGGGCAGGTTCCATAAAGAGAACCTGTGGGAGAGAAAGAACATTAAGTGGAAAAAGTAAATAAAAAATTTTAAGAAAATTTAAAAAAAGTTAAAATAAAATAAAGATTTTACAAATAAAAATGTAAAAAATAAAATAAAAATGAAGCGCCATCTGCATGCAAATAAACGCATGCGTAGGACATTCTGCATGTGCTTTGAGATTGCAGCCGCCATTCCATGGTGGTAGCCAGAATTCTCACACACTAAAGGGTAAGTTTATTTTCCCAGGTAATATGGAAAAATAAAAATTACCCGATGAAATTTGGCCCAAACCGCCACCCCCCTGGCTATACATACCTTTCGGCCAACAATCCCTCCCCTCCGCGAGTATGGGTGTACTATCTGTCCCCTGTACTGCTGTCCAGTGCAGTCCTCCCCTATGCATTTTTTATTTCGCTCGCAAATTGCAAGCACTCATTGGTCAACGTGGTCAGATGACAGCGCTGACCAGTGAGAAGCGCTATTTAGTACAGTCAAATATGTTTTGATTAGGGGTGCACCGATACTAGCATCAGTGCCGATACCGAGTATTTGGGCGAGTACTCGTACTCACCCATCGTACTCACCCATATGTATGCGATACCTTCCTCGATATTGGAAGTTACGGCCAGATGAAAATTTCCTCTGACTGGCAGTGCCGTAGGGGAACATGGAGCCAGCTTCCATTGCAATCAGGAAGCCGTGCGGCAAGTAATGACACACCTCCTGGTTTTCTGATTGGCCGGGAAGCCGGCTCCTTGCTGATTGGCTGGAAAGCCGGCTTCCTGGCCAATCAGCATCGAGCCAGTTTCCCGGCCAGTCACAATCAAGCAGGCCAAACAACATTGAGTCGGCTTCCGTGGCAATCAGGAACCTGGGCGGGATGTCATTACCTGCTGCCCGGCTTCCTGATTACCAGGGAAGCCTGCTCCATGCAAGCGGAAGCACCGGTATTAGTATTCAGTGTCGGCGAGATCAGAAGGCAAAAAAAAAAATCGGTATTGGTGCATCCCTTGTTTTGATTACAACAATTTTTTTTGTATTGGGACAAGTAGATTGTCATGGACAAGTAGATTTGGCCCCCGCTTTAGCCCTTGGACAAGTAGTTCTTTTTTTTTTTTAATTTCCACACCCCTGATTATAGTATCAGTGAGTCCACTGAGGTAACCACATTTTGTTTTGTGGGACGGCCTCACTTTTACCTTGTCTAAAATCCTGCTGAAATATTGTTTAACTAGTGAGGGGCCAGCGGCAGACTTAAGTAAACCCTCCAATTGTGTATAGGTACATTTTTCCATAAGTAATACATTTCTAACAAATTATATGAATGAATATAGTGGGAAAACGAGCCATACCTTTAAAAGGTTGTGTAACTTAAAGTGCATTTTATTTTCCATAGAGTTGCCTGATATATTTGATATTTTGAAAACTACAACAGAGCAGGTGATAGCACT